TCTTTCCCTGAAGAATTTCTTCCTAATGTCCAGCCTAAACCTGCCCTGTTGCAACTTGCAACCATTCCCCCTGGTTCTGCCCCTGATTCCCTGTGAGAAGAGACCAGCACCAACCTCTCTACAATGTCCTTTCAAGTAGTTGTAGAGCATGATGAGATCCCCCCTCAGCCTCCTCTTCGTCAAACTGACCAGACCCAGCTGTCAGGCACAGAGTCAGGCACCTCCAGCTCAGGCAGCGTCACTGTCAGCTGCCACTGTCACCTTCGGAAACGCTCTGTTCGTGGTGTGCCGGAACAGACCAGGCAGTGATCGAGGACAAGCCTCAGAGTGGCTCTCCCGTGGGGGCAGCATGATGAAACTGCCCTCCCAGAGATGTTTCCCTGGCTCTTGCAGAGTTAGGCGGCTGCTTTTGGCACAGATCAACGGCGAATGGGCCTTGGGATCATCAGCTGCCTCCCAGCTGATTCCCACGGCATTTCAAACCCACCATCCCAGGAGCCAGGGATAATACCATGAAAGGCCCTTCTCAGTGGGACGGAGAAGCACTGACAGAGGTATTGCAGGAAAACGGAGACAATTTCGTGCGTGTGGGACTGGCTATATCTAGGGACCAGTTCCCATGGGTGACGGCACTGCTGGATGTGCTGCACAACCTCCTGGCCTTCGGCTCCATCCTGAACAAGCGCTGCATCCTCAGCGCCACATCCAGCCTGTAGAGCTGGTCCGTGCCCTGCGAGGGGACATGCATCACCACGGGCAAGGCTGGGGAGCCAGGAGGAATTAAACCCTCCTCAGCACTCAGGAGGGTCTTGCCACTGCCCCGCAGCTGGGCGAGCATCGGGTGACCCTGCTCTGGCAGGGGGTGGCACTGGGTGAGCTCTAGAGCTCCCTTCCAACCCCCAACATTCTGTGATTCTGTGATTCTCTGATTCTATAATTCTACAATTCAATGATTCTATGATTTGATTCTATGATTCTATGATGATATTCAAAGCCTTTTCCAACCTTAATGATTCTGCGATTCTACAAATAAGGACAACGCTGCTCTCCCCTTCTGGGGCGCAGGGGAGCAGCCAGACTGTTGCACAAATTCTTAACTGTGTTGTGTTTTGGCATTTGGCTGTGAGCTCCTCCTCGGCATCACCTCCTCTTGTCTCTAAGGTTTCAGCCATAAATCAGGTACTTGGGTACCTCTCTGGCTTCTGGGTGATCCTGCTCTGGCAGGGGGGTGGACTGGATGATCTCTAGAGGCCCCTTCCAAGGCCATTCTGTGATTCAGTGAGGACCAGCCCCAGTATTTGATCAACTCTGCCATCCCCTGCGAGCACTTTGACAAGGTGACACTCTTACGACATCGCTCTGCTCAGGGCAGCCGCATCGCTGGAATTCAGCCCATCTGCTTCCTCCACAGGAGCTTCTCCACCTCAGACCTCCTGACTGCTGGGTCTCGGGCTGGATCCATCCCACCACATCTAACTCCTGGCTCATGTGGCAAAGAGCTCCCTCCAGCAGAGCTGAGAGCTGCCTTCCCCTCCCTCCTGCCAACAGCCCCAATGGCAGGAATAGGGCTTGTCGTGGGAGAATGAAGCCCCCACTGGTCACCCATCCCTGTGTTTTGGAGGCCAGGGGCTCACAGTGGTCCCTTGGCCAAGCAGGGCAAAGCGCTGCAACCCAGACCAGGCAGACCTTGAACCAAACCGCCTCCTCCTTGCTCCATTGTCTCCAACTCCAGGCTGGACAAGCAGCCAAAACACTTGTTGGTCTTCTCCTGCTCAGTCCTTACAGGAAAAGGTCCCTTCTGTGTGACTGGCAACTAGCAGGTGTGGGACACCAACCCAGTGTGTGACACCCATCGCTGCACAAGCCACGGGGTGAGTGTCTCCCTGCGGTCAGGGTCAAAAATGCTCCAGAGGTAAAACTGAGAGGGGTTCCTTGTGGTACGTACCAAAGGACGGGCTGATGGGGGCAAGGGCAGCCACAGAGAGAGATGCTGGTCACTTTATCTGGGCACCCAGGGACACCATCAGCACAATGGCAGCCACCCCTCTGAATCATTAGTGCCTTGCTGCCAGGCATGGTAAAGAACCAAACCGCTGGGATCTGCCCTCCTCACCCTGGTGAAGTCCACAGCCACCAAGAGTGATGGCTGGAGGGAGCTGGAGGGCCTTTTTTTGTCTCTTAAGAGGTTGCTGCTGCAACCCCGTCATGTGTCAGAGTAGAGGAACTGAGAAATGGGTCCTGAAAGGCATTCTTACGCGGGTGGCATGAGATGCTACACCCCAGTGTCCTACCGCAGCGACTGGACCTTGCTCACCACCGAGAGGACAGGACACCCTGCATTCCCCACACCGGTCAGGGCACGAGCTGATCTGGGCGCTCCACCCAAAGATCAAAAAAAAAGGCTTCCAAACCAGCAGTGAGGATATTTCAGGAAATTGGTTTCAGCTCCAGGAAGGCAAAGGCAGTGGGAAAACACTTCCCATCTCCAAGGGATGCTTACACTTGCCCCGGGTGGTTGGGAAAGGGGTAGCTGCTCCCTTCTTGCTCTTTTGTTTCCTTAGGCAAATTAAGTATCTTTCTGTGATCAGAAAGCCTGCTTGGTTCATGCATGTCACCTTGAAATGATTTGCCCTGTGTGCTCACACTGCTCCGCTCTCTTCTATTGCCAGCGCATGCCTGGAGATGTTGAACTCCCGCATCTCCCAGGGAATTCCTCCTGCATTAAGTGATCACCAGGGCTTGCCCAGAGAGGAAGGACAGTTCCAGTGAACATGTCACATTTGATGAGGAGAGAATAACGGCTCGTGGTGATGGAGGGAGAGCAGAGTACTGAGAGCAGAGCTGGCCGACCTAGCCAGGCCTGCAAAAGGACCAGCCAGGGGAGTCTGGTGGAAGACACCACATGCTGGGACAGACCAAGGAGATGGCCTCATGACAGAGTCATAGGTTTCTTTATCATTTCACAGAGAAGTGGCTTCATCCCTCTGCAGCTTGCAGGGTGCTACACTCACCCACTTGGCAGCAAACTTCCCCACAGGGCTGGCTCCTTCGGCAGCTTCCA